CTCTCCATCCGATGTTTCCTCTTTCTTTCTCAACTGAACTTTCCATCTCGATGTTGTTTCATGTCATCTTACTCTCCTTTTTCTTTCAGGTCGACATGTCAGTGTTTTCACATGTTTCCCATCCTCAATATATGGCCAATCCATGTCCATCTTCTCTTCATTACGATACCGATCATATTGGCAGCATCTGTCCTTTGATGTAGTTTGATATTTTGTCTGATCACCGAATTTTCATGATTTTCGAAAGCCTATATTTTGGGAGATGTCTAGTTTGTTCTTGAAGTTAAATATTTCCTTAAGCAGACGTGTTTTCCGTTTCTTCACAAAACCCATGTAACTCTGGTTATTTAAATTTCTTTTCCATATGCATACCACCTCTTCTTACAAATTCCTGAAGTTTCTCCCCAATCTCATTGACTGGTTATGTTATCGATATTTTCAGAATACTTGGTGGTTAAGCTTCGAGGTCATCCACAGCATACGAGTGGTTTGTTTCCGAATAGTTGCTGACATAATAAATGAAAATATACCTGAAGCCTCTATACTGAGTGTGACATCGGCAAACCACCAAGTGTCCCATAAAACGCATTAAAAATTCGTAGGGTCGATTTCTAGACCTCAGAAGCCTGCTATATTATTAAGTGTTGAAGAGTTGTCTAAACCCCCTAAAACGTTCAATAATTCTCCCTTTACATTTTCAAACAGACGTAACACTATACCTATTATAGCCCGAGCAATGCCTTGCTCCATGACAAGACTAGGGACGTTTGTATGGGTCGCCGTTTTACTTTAATACTTTACTTACGTTTTACTTTGGTGATATCTCTTATTCAAATATTGATAATACCTATCCATTCCGAATATGTTATATAACTCAGATCATTAGCAAATGAGATTATAAATTAAACGACGCCCAATGTAAGTTTGCTTTGATATATAATACTACCTGATTTAACCAAGAACAGTCTGTTATGCAATCGAATGACAAAACTAGAGAAAATAGGGGTAAACATTTATGACGTACCCATTTTTGTTTTTTTATCACATAAGACCAGTATGGATTATCCAACTCTAATGATTGTGTTGTACATGAGGGGGAACTTCATTTGTCATGTAAACAAACATTGTAGCATCCTGAACAGCAAAGAGGTGGTTGCAAAAATGTACCGTTCAGAGATTGGCTACGACCAATCCGGAATGGCTGTATCCGCTATAAGATGCTCATTATTTAATCAATTCAATTACAAGATCATGAACTTTGACATGGATATATGTCTGGGGTAACCCAATGACATGGATATATGTCTGGGGTAACCCAGCATTGCCTAGTCTTAACTGAAGTCCGCTGGCTTGTGAAACCTAGTGTCATTCGATCCAATTTGATTCCAAGACCAGTGACGTTCAGATAGATGTGTAACCCCATATAGTCCTGTCAAATCACAAGACTACATGTATAGGTGTTTGATTAGCTATGTGTCTGACATTTATCAGTTTATTGTCTTATCAAATCAGATCGCAGATATAGCAGTATATATTATACAAGCATGTTTTGGTCAACTTTAAATATTTTCTGTTTGCTACTTACTATAGATTTCAAGATTATGTGATAAATACGTAATTAGGAAAACTATTCATAATGGACTGAATACGTATCTAACATGAGCGATATAATGGAAGGGGAAAAGCAAAAAAGTATTTAGATTTTGTAAGACAATGGTTGTTTTTAATGCGTTGAAATAGTAGTTGTCTGATGATGCTATGTAAAATGACGTTACCGGTCAAACGCAGCAATGGCGATTGCCTGGTCAATGAATATTGCACATATGCATAAATATTAACTACCTAATTAAGGAAACCTGCTATAAAACCATCATTCACAGGATGATAGACGTATATTAACCAGAATGAGGATGTTATTGGAGAAGTTTTTCTCAAACACATCTTACCATGTGATAAGGTTTTGTGTTTGCGTTTCGATTTTGGCATCTGTTTCTGTCCCCGTGTGATGACGCTATTTCACTTTCCCGTGGTAGGTTTAGTGGGAACTTTCCCCAACTCAAGTTGAAATAATGCTACAACACCGTATTTTTTGGCAACATGAAGGCTTATACGACTAATATTATACAACAGAACACTCGTCCATTGCGGCATGACGTGGGCTCATAACACTGTTTCAGAGTTTCATATTACATGCATAAGCGGTACAGGCTTGGACTAATTATCCCATTAACATGCACTCATATGCTTACAAAACATGTCAGTACTAAAGAGACACACGACGGTTTGTGTGTATTTGGCTTGTGATGTTACATAATTTATTCACAATGACTTTGTTCATTTTGAGTCCGATTTGAACGAGTTCAATTAAACCCAGTATTAAACATTACTGAGAAGTCATTCATAAGGTATACACGGCTTAATTGACAGATAGTTCAACGTTAATTTGACATTGTAAATAAGTCATCGAATAAACCCTGTATTGGTCTATTGGTGTATTTTCCTCCTTCCTGCAATTAGTATATAAACAAAACATCTCCAGGTAATTGATGTTTCAACATGGCAAATAACTAGTAACTGATCAGACACATGTGTCCCAATACCTGTAAAGTGGGCCAGGGTTGTAGGGACGATCGTGCTTGTTAACGTTCCTTTCCAATACGTGACATGATTGATTTTGGAGTAAGCATATTTCTAGCGAATTATTTTAATCAATCGTCGTAATGATATATGACAGAATCATTTTGTAATTGTTGCAATTATAGGTCCACATATTTCAGCTTACACTCAGGAAAAAATCAATAACTACCGTATCCAAAATCCTATTTATAATGAAAAGACCCACTATACAATATGTGCATGGCCTAGCGTTTAAAGCCCAGTACAAAAAGGTTTTTGTTTTCAATGTTAACATATTTAACCGTGTAAAATCCATAACTTGCGACGTGAATGTCCTGATGGTCCAGTCAGGCTTTAATGGTGTCATACCCAGCTGTATACAACCTGTAGCGACATATACCGAGCTCTTCTGGTCTCTCTAATAAAGCTAAGTCAGGCTCCGTCAACGCAAAACACCTTTGTCAATTATTTTATTTCAAATGAAAAATAAATTAGTAAGGTTTTTTTAACTTCATTTTTTATTTTTTTTCATTTGAAATAAAAAAATTGACAAAGGTGTTTTGCGTTGACGGAGCCTGACTTAGATTTATTGACTTTATTGACTTATACTGATTATCGTGTTTTTCAAGAGTTTTTTAAGAACAAAATATTTTATAATATTTTCTTATTTTTTTCGTCAAGCTAAAAATCCTTTTCAACACAGCCTCGTCTGTGACTTTTTTTCATTATTATAAATATGAGTAAAATGTGACACAAATAAAATATATATGTTTAAAAAGAATCAAAACCTGACGACATTTAGAAGACTATTCATATTGATAATTATCAATTAGTGCTGTATCCGCCTTATATTGGACGAAACAAAATGAGCTTAAGTGTTGTCTTAGAGGAAGGATAGACTTTTATATTACTAAATTTAATTACAGATAGAGATATGCATATAACGATATTCTATTATGAGGTCGGAATGAGATATTCCAGTCAATATGTATATACAAGTTGAAATGAAATCGGAAACCTACAGTTAACAGATGGTACCTAGGTTATATATAGTACTCTGGTCACACAGAGATCAGTCATGTATTGATCGACACGCCTCAGTTGTGGAAAACATTGCCTCACTGTAGGTTTTTTCACAATAAAGTAAATCCCCAACAATAACTTCAATTTCTTACCAACAATGAGATCAAACCGTGCAATTAACAAGGTGAATAATTGATGTCTGTACACAGCTAGGGACCACATTGTCAGTATAATTGTGTTGTCACTATGGGGTTTTAACGTGGAAATCTCAAGATAACAGTCGAGTGTTTTTGTGGAAGGTTTATAATTACCTGAGGTGGGAGTGTGTATGTGCTGTACATGTGGTAACGGTGTGATATAGAGTGGGTGGATCATTTAGTGTATCATTATAGGTTTACTGATACAAAATAGGTCAGGATGGAATAAATAACAGATGGTATGTATGGCCATTTATTGTTTACAATATTCCACCCAAATTCATTTTATATGGACATATAAAGAATATTGGGTTTTTAACCAGAAACTTAGAATATTAAGTGTGTACGTTTCGTCAGATTTTCGACCTTAAGGTAGTATTTTTAACACATTTGTCAAACACTAACCGAGCTATGTTTGTCTTATTCTTCTTAACGACGTCACGAACACTTGTTGTATTTTAATATGAAGTGCTGATTGAACCTTTCGGGATTCTTGACTTTTGATATATATAACAAGGTCTGCTGTTTACTCGCGTACAATCTGATGTCCAAATATTGACAAACCTCTCTAACAGCCAAGACCAAACACCACGTGTGAATTCCCTCCATACAAACATACAATTGTATGTGTATTTGCTGTGGACCTATTGCCTGTATTGAGAGCATCTTCACAGTTCTTTCAGTAGCTTACAAATAATTTTTAATTCTAATACAAAGTTATGTAATAAAGATTGAATTTATCAGTACCTACCGAATGATAGTTATGTCTCAACGCTGAAATTTGTCATCCTTATGAAGAACTTCATCATAAAATCTTTGACTCTGCATTTATAGTCGATTAAGCGTGTGATACCGTGTTGCTAGCGGACGTGTTCCTTCTGCCATAGTTGTACCTTGACACCGTGTACTGTCAGTCTGCCAGGCACGCCTTCCTTTCAAGCATAAATGATTAATGTGTCTAACATGTTATAGGGAAAAAGTACTACAAGTATTCCATTGTTGAATTACAATATACAATGTATAAATGTTTATATTTAACCGATCGTCATATTTAACCGATCAGACCATTCCGGAAATGTTCAAAGATGCCACAACCTTGTTATATGATAAAAACACCCATTTCCATCCATCTTAAGTAACTCACTTCTATTTGTGTATTTTCAGGACCTCGATCCCGACTTGTATCGGAACCTAAACTGTCCATTTCCACTCTTCGAGCAACAATCAACATGGCGTAGTCAGAAAACAGCAAAGAACTCCGGGAAGATGGCGTCCAAGATGGCGTCTAGGACGCGGATGTGATGGAACAATCTGTTGTAGTAAGCAGCTCACATATCGTGCGCCAGGGAACGTTTGATACCGACTCGTCCAAAACCCTTCGCTCCAAAAGTGGAGCTATAAAGAAGGGCTCGATTTTTCTTCCAGTAATCGATGACAAATCTGTCGGTTTATCTCACGTAGAATATAAAGGAGACTCCGTTGAATTAGTGAAGAAGCGGAAAAAAGCTTCAGAGAAACCGCCTGTGAAGACAGATGATTCCAATCAAAGTGAGTCCAAAAAGGACAAAGTTTCTCCTCGCGGGACAATAGGTAAATCCAAAGACAGGGAACAGACGAACCAGGAAAACGGACATCAAAGTAGTAACGAAACTGACGCAAACACTGAACAAAAGCCGATTCAGCTAAAAGCGTCTTCGAACAAATCATCTAAACAACACCATCCCGTTAAAAGCGAAGTTGTTAAAAGTGACGTTACCGAGACACAAGAGGGACAAAAATTTGTAAAATCCTCTAACGCCTATGTCAAGGACGGCGATAAGGGTATTGTCAACAAAAAGGTACAAGACAATGTTACAGCTAAAAACAATTCTAGGATAAAAGAACCGGCTCAAAGGACAAGTGAACAAGACAGTCAATCATCGAGCTTAAAGAACGAGACTGTATCACAAGACAAAACTCGTACGTCAAGGAATAATGTGTCTTTAGAGAAAAATACTTCTAATACTGTGGAAAAAAATACATCTGTCAGGAAAAGTAAAACAAATAGAAATGTTACCACGTCACCAAATACAGATCAAAGTGACATCCGGATAATTGGGCATATAGAAGCCCCGAGTCTCAGCGGATCACCACAAAGTACTGGACATCAAGCAACAGCTCTAACAAATTCTGAAAATAACGTGACGTCAGATGTTAAATCGACAAAACGTGAAACAAAGGATCCGAAAAGGAGTAGTAATAAACAATCTAAAGATCTTTCAAAAAGACCTACTACTAAAACTGTGCATGTTGACGATTACGACAGTGAAAAGTCAACCGATATTTCTAACATAAACGTGAACAACCGAGAAAAAGAACCAGTTGTACAGGAATCTGATGATAATTTCAATAAAACGCAAAAGGGGGCACCATTGAAGAAGCGTTTTAGTAGAGCTTCAGACTTACGCGAGGATACATCCATGACACACGTTAGAAACGTGGCATCCCCTAACCTACACCAAAGAAAGACTGTAAACAACATTTCTCCGGAACGAATTTCCAGAAACAATGAACATAACGGTACCAATAATAACAAAGTACAGGAAAGTAAACCACCCGACAACGAATCCTACACCCACAACCTTGATCCTCTTGTAGCATCAATCGGGGTTGTAAACAAACCACCCCAAAGTACGGCATTAACGAGACACGAAGACGATAAGTCTGATTCGTATACTCATAAATCACAGGGAAACCCTGTTGAACCAGTCACACAAAAGACGAAAGATTTGAAATCTTCATCAAAAATGGAACCAGGCCGTAAACAGGAATTTGGTTCGGAAAGAGTGATGGAATCGTATGACTCTGTTTACGCAGAAAGAAAAACTCTCCTCGAGGCAGAAGTAACGTACAAGAAGAGGATAACGCAACTTGAAAATGAAATGAATCAGTTTGTTAAGACTGTAGATGGTCTACGAACAGAAAATAAGACCATTCGGACAACTATGGACCAGCTGGAAGTGGACAACAGGAAGAAAGAGAGTCACCAAAGCCAAAATACAGTGGTAATTGACGTCGAAAAGGACGATCTAAAACGACAAATCAATCTTTTGAAGAAAGAAAACAAAAGTCTTGATGACAAACTAAACACGTCGTATGAAAGAAACGACGAACTGAAAGCAGCAAATCAAACACTCGACGATGAAAACATTCTTTTACGAAATAGAATTCAGGATTCGGAAAGGAAGTCGTCTGGAAGGAAAAGAGAGAAAAGCATAGTTGGTTCTAATGCTGGTAGTTCAAAGGATGTGAAAGAAAACCTAGAAAGATCAGATACTGAGTTATCGAAAGCAAAGCTCACAGAGTTTTCTCTGAGGGCGGAAATCAGTGCTCTTAAGAAGGCAGAGGAACGTTACAAGAAAGAATCTGAAAAATTGCGATCAGACAAAAAGAAACTTGAGTACGAATTAGAAAAATATAAAGACGCTGCAAAGGAAGACGCCGAATTTGCAAAAGACGGAGCAACAACTGCAAGAGATAAAATGGAATTGAAATCACACGTAGTGAGCTTACAAACAGACAATCAGAACCTGAATGAGGAAAATATGAAACTGAAAGCAGAATGCCTCGAGCAGGTTAGAAAAATACACGAACTTGAAAAGGCAGAAAAGACTGAGGTAGAGGGACTAAAAAATGAAAATGAAAAGCTGAAAAGCGAAAAGAAAAAGCTTCAGGAGGAAAATAACGGTGGGTCTGGAGGGAACACCAAAAAATTAGAAGCAGAAAACAAAGCTCTTTCAGAGGCTTTGTCACAGAAGAAGATAGAACTAGACGAACTGATGCATGCTCTCAACGGTGATAGGATAGAGGACGAGGTACAAAAGGTCAAGGCTGAAAAAGAAGAGCTACAGAAAAAATTTGAGGAAAGTCAAAAGAATGTGGAAATTTCCGAAAAGGCAATGAAAGAGCTAGAAGAGATAAAATTGGAAAAAGCCAGTCTAAAACAAAAGCTGGAAGTAAGTGAGAAGAAAGTAGAGGAGAGCGATAGACGGGATGAACAGATTGTTGAACTCAAATCAGAAAAGGAAAAATTACAAAAACAACTAGACGAAAACGAAAAACGGGTTCTAGAATCTGCAGACTCAATGGTAATGGTTCATGAGCTGAAATCCGACAAAGAAAAGTTGCAAAAAGAATTGCACGAAAGCAAAACGCGGGAGTCAAAAGTACAGGAATCTCTTATGGAGGTGAAAATTCAGAAGGACGCATTAGAAACAGAAAAGAAACAGATCAAAGAGGAATTAGTGGAAACCGTCAAAACAAATCAAAACATAAAAACAGAAATGCAGGGACTCAAATCATCGCAAGAGACAATGTCTCGCGCTCTAGACGAAGAAAAATCGAAAATAACATTACTAGCAGAAAAGGAATATGAATTGGATGAGTTAAGGAAAAAGTGTGAGCTATTGGAAAAAGAATTGTCCAGAACAAAGCAGCTACACAGTCTTGAAATGGACAAAATAAATGACGAAAGAAAGAAAGAGGAGAACAAATTAAGAAAGGAATTGGAAAATCTTACGGAAAGAAAAAATGAAATCATCGAAAAACTTACCAAAAAGATGCTATCGATGGAATCGAGTAAAGATTTGGAAATCAAAAAGCTGAAAGAACAAATAGAAGCGCTGTTAGTTGATCAAGAAATTGTAGAAAAGACAAAGGCAACAGAAAAGGAAAATAAGGAGTTCAAACTGGAACTGAAAACACTGTACAATAAATATTCGCAAGTGGTCAATGATTTGGAACAGAAAAATACAACGGAAGAACGAGCATTTGAAATGAGCATGCGTGTGGAAAAGATGAGCGTGAAAATGAAACTGATGGAGAAAGACGAACGTGAGTGGAGGGTGAAAAGGGAAAGATTTGATGAAATCGAAGCCAGCAATAAAAGACTGATAGAGGAAAGTGTTGTGTTGAAAAAAATGTTGGAAGGGAAGGGCAATGGTTCTGATGACATGTCTCATCGTATAAATTATCTCGAGAGACGGCAGACGGACGCTGACACGCGAGTGAAACAGCTGGAAGGCTGGGTCGGGGATTTGTACGTAGAGACTGAACGTAGTGACAAAGGTAGTAACAAAAACGCTACCAAAAATAAAAAGGCAAAAAACTCAAAAACTATGCAGATTCAAAACCCCTCAAATCTGTCTACTCAGAACGTGAAAGCAAGAAGTTTAGACGATGTCGAAGTGAACGTTGATGATAAGGCGACAGAATCATCTACTCCAACCTTGCCGTCAATATACGCAAATAGCACCGGACAGTTGACGTACAGGAGCGTGGGGTACAGTCAGATTCACAAGGCACGCTTACAGAAAGCTACCAAAAAACGCAGATGAGTCTGCCTCTATATTTACTTGCCAAAGGACAAAATTTCTGTGATAAACTGTGATAGATATGTATGGCATATCATATTCGAAGTCTGCATGAGAGAGACAGTGTGTGAGCGAGAATGAATAGAAGTTGATTTTATTTGTTACATAAGATAACTATTAAAGTATTTCTAATTATCAATATAGCGTCCATTTACTGTAGATTATCAAACGTGAAACATACATTTTAAGATAAATACCACAGTGGCGTCAGGGACTCTATGACATAATCAAAAGTCGATACAAAAACAAAACAGAAACACAAGAAACACAAAACCCTGAAAATGTCATGAACCACACAAAAATATTAGACGGGCGACCAGGGGCCGTATTCATGAAATTGTTCGCATGCTCTAACTCAGATTCTGTGCTCAAATCAAATTTCTTGTTTCAGTGATAAACTAATGAAAATCACATTTTGCCCATGAAATGGAAGAATTTTTGAGAAAATACAATTTGTTAACACCTGACTTGTCACGTGATATTAAGCGAGTAACAAGGACGTTGGTTTGAGCACGTTATCCTTGTTTGAGCATGAGAACGAATTCATGAATATTGGCTCCAAGTGCTCTTGGAAATTAATTTTGTTTTTAAATGACACAAGACGACTATGAAGTCATAGAAAGAACATGCATGTTGGTCAGAAAGGCTGCCTCAACGAATAATATTTGTGTAAGAGTTTGGTGATAAGGAGGTGACATTTTACGGACGACCGTTTGGCTGGTTATTTGATATTGCTACTCGCAGTGCCAAAACATTGAATTAAACGCCTTGAATGAAACCCTAAAACGATATTCATTAGTCAAAGGATAACATATTTAAAGAGTGAAAAAACGAGATTGAGGAGTGTACGAAGGAAAAGAACCACCCATGTTAGGCCGACTTATAGACATCAATTACAATAGCAGTTTTCTTACTAAAGTTTCATAATAAGGTACAATATACGTATCAAGAATACCGTGACGCAAAAATTTATTACGAATTGCCTTCATCTTCGTTTCTGTTGGCGAGAATTTGTACGTAGCACTACAAGACAAAAGAGGGATTGAATTATATTCCTACAACCGTTACCAAAATCCTTGAATGGTCAATCGCAAGATTGTCATAGACAGATATCCAACACTCAAGATAGCAAAACAAGTTTTGCAAAATGGCTAAACTCATCAAAATATAACATATCTGAACTCACATTTCACATTCCATGTTAATGGTCGCCATTTTAATAACTGTAAAACGTCCGGAACTGAGAATTTATAATACGACATTCATATTCCTTGCTTAGTCTGCTATTGGTTCACTCTGCCCGAGTTATAACTGACTAAGAATTGCCAGTCCAAGGCAAGCTGCTTCAGACGCTGATAACTTGTCCTCAACCATTGCAGATAATTCTCTGGTTTGGTATCAGGCCACCAATTAATGGTAAACTATCGTCAGTGTAATCAGATGTCCATCTGGTAAAGTTATCAGGCTACACACTTATTGATGATCAGGATGCACATATCCACCGAGTCAACTTCGAAGCCCATTCCAAACAACTAATTGTCCAAAAACTGTAATAAGATGTATAACACTTCAGACATCCATCAAAGATATTGTTCAGAATTTATATTAGGGGTAGAGGTGGTCACCATTGGTTACCAAATCGTTGAAGCACAACCTTTGCTTTCAACAGTGAACGCTGTTGTTTCTGATTTCATTTTTTGTCAAAAGTTGAGATACAAAATAAATCAATAAAAAGTCAATTTTTCAATATAAATATAAGACATTTCTTACATATATTGGATAGTAAGTGTCTGCATTCAAAACCAAATTATTTTACTTTAAACAGCTTCACACAACAGAATCTAGAATGCAAACATACACCGTCAGGTCATTAAACTTTACTCTGTACCTGGCTCAATTGTTACTGGAACAAGGACGTTAAGCTTCGTCAATCAATGGTCATAAACAATGAAATATTTACCAATGGTGTACAAAACTGTCGTCTTATTGGCCATTGGTTTAACAGTGAGAAGTTGCTTCGGGGAGCTTCAACAAAGATTCACCAGACGATAACATCACTAATCTGTGTTTGATCAACTTGGACAATAATAAACCGTTGTTGGAGAAGCAGGGATACTACTATCAAGAAAGGGAAAAGTTAACAATATGAATATAGAAATCGTCTCACTTATCATACAGCCTCCCTGCTCAATAGGGGTGGGAGTTTATTCGTCTGTAGTAACATAGCGACAACCTGTTAATGAAGTTTGTAACTTCAACTGATTTCCACCTATAAAATCCCAGTGTCTAACATGATTACAGACTTGTCCATTGTTGGTGACCTACATACTTTTCCGAACTTGACAGGAGACACTGCAGGTATCTTAGTGTATAACCAAATATCAATGACAAAGTACAGTATTCATAATTACTGGAGAACAAACATAAATAGGATTTGAGCGGATAATCAAACAAACATTTTAGAATAAAGTAATCCGGATCACGAACAAGGCAGTAAATGACAAAGTATACATCGTAAAGCAGGTCTAGTGCTATAGCATCTTAGAAGGCTGTTGTCCTCTAAATAGGTGAACAGAGATCATGCTTACCCAATCACACATTATCAGGACTTTCCGATAACGTCTGGCTATGGCAGAAAATGTGTGATTGTATGCAAATTTATAATATTAGGCATAGATGACATCTAAAAGAAATTAATGCAATATTATTTATCCTCCATACATACCATAGGCTACTCTTCTTAACTTCATATCTGACATTTACCTGCAGTACGACAATAATGATCACCTCCTACCAAACTCTGATATTAACCCAAAATATGACAATAACGGTAAACTGGACACTACCAAGCTCTATGACATTTACTGACAGTTTGACAGTAATGGTCACCTAACTCCCAAACTCTACAACAATGATCTTGTATGACAATAAAAGGCATCTCACTACCAAACTCCAATGTTTACCTACAGCATTACAACTATTGTTAACTTGCTACCAAACTCTCAGAAAATTACATTAAAAGTTATGGTACCACCAAACTCTAACATTCACCACAGTATGACAATAATGGTTCCCTCACTACTAAACTCTAACATTCACCACAGTATGACAATAATGTTCCCCTCACTACTAAACTCTGACATTCACCACAGTATGACAATAATGGTCCCCTCACTACTAAACTCTAACATTTACTGACAGTATGACAATAATGGTTCCCTCACTACTAAACTCTAACATTCACCACAGTATGACAATAATG